TAAAGCATGTTATCAAAAATATCTTGGCACCAGGTTGTTATCTTCCTCAAGTTGATCCAATTGGTTTTCTCATCACTCTCGATATGAAGCTAGGGTTTTGGATCACAAACAACATAGACATTTTGCCTGATAAGATTCCTAAAGCTACAAAGTTATCTTCATTAAAAATTCTTCAAAGAATAAGTGCATTGAGGCTTAACTTGTTGTACTTATGATTCCATCATAACTTCATTGAAATTTCTCTTGAGCTAGAGTTTTATTCCTCTCACCATCTCAAGTCTTCTTCATCCATATGCAGTCAAGGTTAAGAGACTTATGGTTTCTACTATGATTGTGCCCGAGTGTTGATATTGGTTATTTAACAATGGTTCATTGTTCTAGGTTTTATCCTAGAGGTTGCAAGGATCATCATCCTTTCCTCATTGTCAATTCATCATCATTTAAGGGTGTGATACGGTGGCCAGAACCAGACTGTTTTGAAATGCTGGTTTGCGTTTTGCGTTTGTGTTTGCAAAATGTCGCGGAAAGCAAGAGTCGCCACCAACTTTTATTTTATCCAACTGGAAAGGACAAAATCACAGAAAAAAATCCTTTTTTCGAGTTTTTGGGTACGGGGGGATAGATTATAGAAAGGGAAGGTATTAGCACCCTTTCTATCCGTGGTTTTCCACAGGCTCTTAGGTACTTGCTCATCATTTTCAAAATTGCTTGTGTGTTTTTTATTTGAAAAAAGTTTTTGTTTGACTTCGATTTAACTCTTGCTTCTGTCTTCAAGAGGGTTACGAAGTTGTTTTGAAAACTTGGTTTAAAAGGAGTGTAAGTGTAAAAATGTTTGTTTTGTTTGAGCGAGTACTTGAGAGCAAATCTACCTACTCGAAAAAAAGAATTGTTCTATGTTCGTTTCCTTTAGATAGTGCTATCCCACTATTAGTGAGTAGGTAGCACCATCGTTCGAGTTTAAGGGTCAATTCGAAAAGGGACGTACGATCACTAAAGCAATGTTTAGGACGTCTTAGTAATAACCCTAATGTCTTAAGATCAATATTCGAGGCAACAATTCTGAGGCAACCTTTCTGAGGCAACTTTGATCTTTGAGACAGAAGAGCAACCACTAAAGCATCCTATACTCAATGACTGTTTACCGAATGCAACCGAAGTGAGAGTATATCCTAGGAGTACGCATGTGCGAGTGATTCAATTTCAAGTTTATTATCTTTGCACATTTAGGGTTTGCTAACTTTTTTAAAGTTAATCATACATTCTTGTCATGCATCCCTATTACCATACATCTAACAGTTAATATTTTGTGGAATTTAAAGTGCAGAAAGTAAAGCTAAGCTATTACAAGGCTCCGGGTATTAATTACATAGCCAAAAACAACCCGTAAAAAAAAGTGATAAATGAAAGTAAAAGTCCTAATTAATCTATTACAACTTGTGAGCAATTACATCAATATGGTAAAAATAAATGATAAAGCGCGCACGATGAAATTAAGAACGAGAGAGAACTAGGGTTTTGACCCCGTCTAACCTAATCGAAATAAAATTTATTTTTGTTGTTTTTGATTATTTTTAAGAGAAAAAAGAATTAGGTTTTTAAATTAAATACAAAATTAATTAGTAATTAAATTAATTAAAGAAAATAATTTACATGACCTATTTTTATATTTTTGGTTATTTTTAAGAAAAAGAAAATAGAATTAAGTTAGAAACAAAAAACCTAATTGTTCTAATTGTTTTTAATTTATTTACAAAATAATTTAAGTTACCTAAAGTTAAATAACCTAATTATATTAATTAATTTTTTTGATAAAAAATAAACCTAAATCTAATTGGATGAAAATATTATTTTTATGATTTTTTGATAAAAAGAATTATTTATTTGTGTTAGTGAAATAATTAAATAAATTAATTAAGGAAAATATAAGAAAGAAAAGAAAGAAGAATTGGGCCTGTGAAAGTAAATTGGGAGTGTGATGATAGCAAGTCTTGGGCCCAAAAGGAATTGATCCATGTTGACTTGCTGGATCCCATGTGTTGCATTGACTAAGGCCTTTGGTGCTCCTTCATCTGATAGCCTTTAGATCTGGCCATCTGGACACTTGGCTGGCTGGATAATGATGGACCATGTTGGTCATCCCACCTGTGCACGCGTCCGATCACTGAAAGAAAAAGAATGTGAAATAATTGGGGGGGACCTGGGATTCGAACCCAGGTCCTGAAACCTTTTCCAAACGCTTCAATGCCAACTGCGCTGCAAGCTTGCTTTGTATATAAAATAATAATAATTGATAATATACAATAATGGGAGTTAGTGGAGAGAGAAAAAATAAAATTGCACCAGAATTCAAATAAGTGAATCAGATGGTGCCACGCCAGTCATCCCCAACCTCGCTCCGTTGGTAAAAGTCGTGGAATTTTACCTACAGACATATGTCCATAGCTACAACCCTGGCTTATTTCAAAACCTCCCATGGGCATGATCAATGAACTCTAAGGCTGTGGTTTGATTCGTCTTGGCCTGCTGAGCACGATGGTGCTCTTCTTGAGGGCTAATTTTACCTGTCCACAAAGATCCTAAATTGAAGCAAAAAACCCTAACAATGGTAAACTCTGATACAGTCCACAAAAACATAATTAAATGATATAGATAGCTTGGAAATGTTTCAAGGAGCAAGAATCTATAATTATTTCATGCTATAAGTGTCAGAATCATGCAATTCGATTTCAAGAACAAACCAAAGTCGTGGCTGACTTATAGTGGGTTTTAGCGCCTGAAAGTGCTTGTTCTTGATTGGTATGGCTTGCTTGTGATCCCAGGAAGCGAATGGGATGGCAAGAGGGTCTTGAAAATGTCTAAATATGAAATCAACTCAGCACTTTTTGTGATTTTTTTCAAGTTTGTTCTGCTCTCTCACGCCTCCAAAACCCTTGTGATTTTTGTCTGCAAATGTTTCCTATATACTGAGGAATGAATTAGGGTTGAAAACATGATCTCAATCTTTCTCCATTATAGCTTTTGATTTGGATTTGATTCACTTGAAAATCTTTCTAAAAATAGGTCAAACTCAATCTTTTTGTGCACACAAATGCCTTGCACGAATTCAATCACTTGCCAACTTGATATAGGACCTGAAACATGCACAATATCTTGAGGTTTCAATGTTTTAGATTTTTTCATGATTTATTTTGATTAAAATTGATTTAATTCAAATAAAAATCAAAATAAATAATAAAAATAAGATAAAGACAAGTGGAAAGGGTTAGGGCTCGTGGACCATGCTACCAACTCAAAACAAGTGCAAAAGATTGGGCCCAATTAGCAAAAATTGCAATTTGAGGCATATTTGACTTTTGGCAATTTTGCAAAAAAGGTCAACTTCACCAATGCATAACTTCCTCAATTTTGACTCTTTGAAGGTGTTCTTGGACTTTTTAGAAAGTTTGAGATGTACTCTAAACAACCCTTTTGGTATCATCTCAATTTGGTATTCCATGTTCATGTATGAAGCTTTGACAAAAAAGGTCTTTTTGTTGACTTTTCAAAGTGACCTATAATGTCCAAATTCATAATTTCTTGTGAGTGCATATTTTGAACTTGGGAGATGAATATGGATTGTAGGTAATTGCATCCTCTTCAAAATGAGCTTTGGATGGGTCATTTATCATAAAGTGTGAGAAATTTATGCTTGGTCAAAGTTGAGTTGACTTTTCCTACAAAACCCTAATTTAGCAACTTTTGAGTTTTGATGAATTATGAGCAATGCTTGATGAATCATGATAAAACCTTGATCAAATGATGAATGGTACTTCAAAATGAGGATGTTGACCAAAAATCTTGAAGTTTGACTGTATGTGGGCCACAGTTGACTTTTTCCCTAGCACAATCGATTTTCAGACCTTTGAGCAATTGACTGAGTAAACTTCCTCTGCAAGGCTTGAAACTTGACATGGATAATCTTGAGAACATATTAGGACAAAGGTGATAATTTTGGATCCCTTAGACTCAAGTATCTTGATGCAACATGAAACCCTAATTTGAGGTAGACTGCCTTAGGAGAGAGCTTGTCTGGTCAACCCTTGGACTTCCTTGAGCAACTTAAGGATCTTTCTTGAAATGTTTTCAGAAATATGGGAGGGCAAATAAGAGGTTGAGAATTTTTCCTCGAGGTATTTCTTTATGTTAAAATAATCAATGGAAAGGTGCTTTGTCAAGTCAAGAGGGTTTGTTGATTGATATACAAGGGTGAATCACGACACAAAAGATGAGTTTGTGATTTCTTTGCCATCGAGTGCTTGTTGATTATTCAATTACATATGGCTTACAGATTCATTATGATGAGGTATTAATTCAAGCGTGTAATTTCCAATTGAGTCAAAAAGCATGATTCAAGCTATTGATCTTTGAATTCATCATGGATTCAGAACTCTTAAGTGAATTTGTTTGTTAACAATGTCAAGAATAAGAGTGCAAGCATGCAAGTGATTACTCAGAATTTAGGGGGGCACAAGTTCAAGTTTATTCATCGAGATTATTTTGAGTTGAAGCTATCTAAAAGCCAGATAATTCATCATTTAAAAAAAAGGCATTCCTCATGGTTTTGCTAGCAAAGTCCTTTTATTTAAGAGGAAGGTTAAATTTCTTTCAATTCAAGTCTTCAAAGCTTTTTTTTTTATTCTCAAGTTCACTTAATTCATCACGGCTTAGGTGATCATTAAAAATAAGCAAAGCATATCAACTAGTCGTGCCATTTCTTAAATTGAATATTACAAAAGTAGAAACCACGTTTTGCCTTGCATTGCACAAAAATAAGAAATTAAAAAACATTTTGTTCTGTGTTTCTAAAGCTATGTTAAACTTCTTGTCAAGTTCTTCATGTCAACCCTAATCTTCACCAACATACTTCAACAGACTTTGAGTAATAAACTTCGAGCAACCTTGCCTTGATATCAATACGATATCAGACTTGTGTCCTTACCTCTATCATGTTAGTTCACGCTTCATATGACTCCAAAGACTTTGCACACTTGCACCTTTGCCATACCAAGCTATAACATGCATAACATTAAACCAAAAGATACCAAGCAGAAGATATATTTAGAAAACAAAATGGAGCCAAGACAAATGAGAATCTTGAGAAGTAATTTCCTACTTGGCAAATAATTCAAAGAAAACTCATAAAATCAGCATAACTAAATTCAAGCTAGGAGCTCCAAATCATGTTCAAACTTGTTATGAACTTAGTCCAAAATATTTTTCAAATAATAACGTGTGAAACTATATCCAAATTGGTTCATAAACCTGCACAACAAAACAATTCACCAATGTAATAATCTTCAATCCAATGAAGACTGGTTAAACTAATACAAGCTACCCGTGAACTCAGGGCATGAAACAGTTCACTGAACAATCAATTCGGTTCAGAGGTTTATAGCAGTAGTTCTGCATAAAAACTAGAAAAAACAGAAGAAAAGACTTCAACTCAGCAAATCAAAACCAGATAAAAAAGGGGAAATCAGTTCAAAAATACGTCCAAACAGTTCACAAATTTCCCTGGAGACGTGGAGCTCACGGCTGCTAAAGGGGTTTTCACAAAAATTATCAAAACAGAAAACTTGAGGAGGACTAAAAGTGTGTGCAAGAAGTTTCTTAGGCCAACTCATAAAACATAAGCTAAAGGCAAGAGGAAAGGCTGTAACATATTTTGGAATGGAATAGCCAAACTTCCAGAGCAAGCTTTCCATCAGATTGATCTCATCTGTTCATTCATATACCAGAATTTTAAAATCAAAGGTCAAGATGATCTTACCTGTAAGAAGCTTCTCAGACAAGCCAAGCCAACTAATATATAACAGATTTTATCTTCAGATCCAAAGGGAGGAGGAGACAATTTCACTTCTACAGAAAAACTTCTCATAGAAGTTTCAGAGTTCTCTCTGAAATTCTCTGAGGCTTCAATACGATTCATTTGACAAAAAAACTGAAAAACTCTTCAAGTTCTCTCATCTCTCAAAAATTTATGCTCCCTCTATAAACCAACTATGTTTAAACTCTTTTCCTCATCTTCATATCAATTCTATTTCACATCATCAACGAATCTGCAATATTCTACAACACTACTACGAATTCAGAACGAAAAACAAAAAGTAGAAGAAGAAAATTCTCGAAATATAAGTGCGCAGAGGAAGAAATTCAGATCGAAAGAGAAAAAGTCGAACCTAAATTGAATTTGGTTTCGCTTTTAGCATCTTCTAAGCGCCATCGGAGCATCTCCGATTGGTAAGCCTCGAACTCTCCTTTCACTTCACATCTGCACTTGTTTCTTATCATGATAATGTAGAACTCTGTGATTCTTGAAGTCACTAAATCTGTGTTGTATTTTGACATACGTGTCACATTCAAACTTCGTGACACTGAAGTAGGAGATAGAGTAGAAGATGAGTTGAAGCAGAAGGAAATTGATACACGACTGAAGCGTGAAATCGCAAGCAAACATAGAGGAAATGGCGCTATGTTCAAGATAAACAGAAGAAGCGAGATGTTGTCGGGAGAGTCGTGCCGTCTAAAGCAAAGTGCGAAGGAGAAGAAAGTGAAAGCGTCTGCGGTGAAATCGAACAGAAGCGATGATGATAAGTCTGAATCGCGAGACGAGAAGCTTGAGCCGCATAGTTCAAAGAGGATATGAGACGGAGATGGTGATACGATTTTAAAAGCGAAGAACGCGCGGAGATTGAAATTGAAACTGAAGTTGAGAAGACGATGAAGAGTTGGTCATGGCGTAGCACGGTGGCCGATCGTTGAGACTCTTCGGAGAAGATGAGATGTTGAGGTAGTCGTCATTGTAAGTGTGGAGGCTGAGGCGAAAGAGAATGTCATTTCAAGAGGAAGAAGTCCAAACGACACTTTTTTAGAACCCTAATTTCGTTTTCACTGAAACGATGCATTGTTAGTTTCTTTTTTTTCTCACTTAGTAAAATAGTTATGAAATAGTAAGTTAATATTAAAATCTGAATTGTTAATGGATCTATGTTGGGCCTGGTCAACAAATGCTTACTGCAAATCCATGCAATTTTTGGAACATCGGGAAAGTTGAACAAAAAACTTCTCTTGGGTTGAAGCTTTGGGCAGCCGTTCCATACCCCCTTGGACCATTGCTATTTTTTTTTTGTTATCTTACAACTTGGACAAAAAATAACTCCATGGACCATTCAGCATGGGTGTGGCACTTGTATTGCCACAAAAACCCCCGGATCCAGCTTGCACATCCCTTTGTTTGGTTATTTGAATTTCTTTTCAATAATTTCTTTAATTTTTCTTTTTATTAAATTTGATCGCATAAAATTGTGATGAAAAAGTGATACAAAAAATAGTAGAATATGCTAGTTGATTTTAGAATTTCTCTTTTAGAATTTAATTGAGAGTTTGTCTTTATTCTTTTTCATATTTCATGATTAATTTTTGTTGTTATTCTTGCCATGATTTCGCGATAGCATGCTGATTTGTGATGTTAAGCGCTAGAGGATTAACTTGGTTGATCCCTGGTGGAGCTTCTTGTCGGTTAGACGGTTCTTTTCTCTAGCTCTTACCTTATGCTTTAGGATAGTCCCTTCATTTCCTCCCATCTTTCTTTAATTTCAAAATCTTCTCCCTCCTTTTGAAAATTCTTCTTGATTCTAAACTTGAACCACTTTCATAATAAACTTGGACTTATGTCCATGCATTTTCAAAATATTTTCTTAATCAAACTTTAAACAACTTAATAATACTTTGACATTTTTTGTGAGAAGACTAAAAGTCAATCAATCTCATTCAAATCACTTTGCCATCTTGGCTTTCATCTTAAAACTTTTCTCAAAAGATTAGACTCTTGTCAATCATTTGTAGTGATGCAAATAACTATAATTCTATGATATATAGTGAAGTGAGATATCTTCCACTTGGGTGTTGAGTGAGGTTTTGTTGATTTTAAAATCCAATCCATATCCTCCACTTTGAGATGACGCAAATTCTCCTTTCTCATAATTGTGGGTAGAAAGCATGTTTTCCACGCAGACAATGACAATGACGTCTTGTCTCTTAAAGTCAACCAACACACGGTGTTTTTAAAAAAAATTTAAAGAGGAACTACGTGTACCCTGATCCCCTATTGCACAGAAGGTGGTACGTAGGCACTAAAGGTTCGCAACAGCGGCGGATGTAAAAATCATAAAAAAATATTTCTTTTCTTATCCCCACAAACTATTTTTACACAACATTTTATAGTCAAAATCTACAAATTTTTATAAAGAGGTTCCTGTGGAATACCGTAGATGTTTAGGGTGATAATACATTTCCTTTGCATAATCAACCCCCTTACCTAGAATCTTTCCCCCTTCTTTTGGGTTATTCGTTCTTTTCCCATTCCTTTGGAAATAATAAAGTATGGTGGCGATTTTTATTTTGATTTGTACAAGTCAAGTCAATCCAATGGCTTTGTCTTAACATTTCTACTACTATAGTTGGCTAAGAAGGTGAGTCTTGTATGCTTGTCTTTATAGAAACGATATTCCTGGTAGAGGTCTGGAATTATCTTATGATTATCTTTTCTTGCCTTGGTAATCTTTATGTGTTACTCTTCCCAATATAGTTTTTCAACCCTCATTTCTGTGTAGAGTCTCCTTTGTATAAGGAAATCCTTTCGAAGGTCTTCCAACTCACGACAATCTTGCTCATATTCATCAGTCTTTTGGGCGAGAAGTCTTTCTGCCCTCATCCTCTTGAGACGTTCCCATACATCATTTTTCTTGGCTATCTTGGAGTCTCGTAGTAAGATATTGCATTTGCTCTTCTTGATCTAAAGAAGCTTGTGCCAAACTTTGGATTTGAGCCCTCAAATTTTCTTCCATCTCCTTTTTGTCTTGCATTTCCTTTTCGTACAACCTACTTAGCCTCCCAATTTCACTAGCAGCATCTTTCAAACGTTGGTTATGAGAATTCAAGTTGAAGGTAGCACTCAACAACCCTTCGGTCGAATGTTTCCTCTTAAGACTCTCTTTTCAAATGCTTCACAGTCTTTCGGAATCTGTTAATCTTTGGACTCAAGATCGCGTTGCGTCTATCTTTTCTCCTTAGCTAAGTTATGAAGGTTAAGCTCTAATTCCTCTTTCTCCTTCTCAGCTAGATTCAAGGCTTTCTTCAAGTTATTTATTTCTTCCAAGGACATATACAGAGGATCTAGGACATTTGGCTTGTACTCAGGATCAACGTCAAATGGTAACTTAATAACTTGCACCCTATCCAAAATCCATTAGTGTAAGGTTCTTTTTCCACAATATTCTTTCTTTTGGCCTTTCTTGTATTAACCTTATCCCAAGCCCGGATGATCTTGTTGAGCAACTCTTGGTCATTGTTTTCCATGTCGTGAATGATTAATTGTTGAAGTTGTTCATTGGAGGGTTTATCCTCCAAAGAGTATCCAAGTTTTCGCAAAGCCAAAGTAGGGTTGTAATTGATGCCGCCACGTCATCCAATCAATGGAACATTCAGAAAATCTCTGCAACTGTAAATGATATCTATGATGTTTAGCTTCCTGGATAACCACAACACATAATCAGTAGTAAAAGACCTTAATTTTTGAGGCCACTCAAGTCGTGTCAAACTTTTGATCATGTAGTCTTCCTTGTAAAGAAGAAACATAAACCAAGAATATAAGAGCGGGATACAAGTAGTAAGAGACCTTAATTTTTGAGGCAACTCAAGCCGTGTCAAAGTTTTGATCATGTAGTCTTCCTTGTAAAGAAGAAACGTAAACCAATAATATAAGAGCGGGATACAAGAGTTCAACATACCCCTCTCTTTTTCATAACGAGTGTGAAGAGCATAGTAAGCATCGACAATTAGATCAGGAGTTGGTCCTGCATTTAAAGCTTTTGCACCCCAAAACACACTAATAGTTGCAGGGTCAATATAGTCCAAAGTCCACGGAAATAGAATTACACCAAAGCCAAGCAGTCCCAAACAATCAACACAAGACTCCCATTATTTCTTATTGGAAAAAGAAAGGGCTTTAGCTTCCAAATATTTCTTTTTAATCCCTTGTACATCACCATCTCTTTTGTAATTAGGTGACAAATCAGAAAAGGGTATCCCTAAACCTCTTGCTAGATCTTTAACATCAATAGTCTGTCCAATTCCCACATAAACTTCTTCTTTAGAAAAATTTAAGAACCTATCAAATTCTTCCAAAGTTTGCGCTAGTTAAAGTTTTTGAAAGGTGAAACACCTTAAACGAGAATCTTAGAACTGAACCAAGGAAGAGATAGCATCCAATTGTACATAAACTTTTGTCAACTCAAGGGTATCTCCATAGCGGTGAACAAACATCTTCATAGCTCTTTCAGACAATTTCCCCTTGATGATTTTTATCTTCGTCATATTTGGCTTGACGGTGTTAACACAGACAAGTTATTTCCCTTTGGCATCCATTTTTAGGATACTCACCAAAAACCTTCGATTTTTTTAATGTTGTGAATAAGACAACAAAAAAATGCAAAATAATGAATATTTGAAATGCAAGATGTATGAATGCATGATGATGCAACATAGTAACGAGATTTATGAAAAGTATCCTTAGTTGGTAGGTTCCTAGTTTGGGCCTGCGAATATTCTACCCTCCCCAAAAGCTGACTTCCTTAAGGGTGTCATAGATTACACTATAGGGAAAGGCACAAGGGCCTCCCTTAAGCGGAGCCTCTTTGTAGACCGAAACTTTTGCCTCTAAGGTCGTAAAAGGTCTCACCATGAGATTTTGGTTTAGGGTTATACAAAAAGTAATAGATTTCATTCCAAAGTCCTATACCCCAAGAGGATACCTCTTGAGACATATTCCTTTTTTGGAATTCCACTGACTCTAGGAAAAGTTGTCATAAAAACTGATAGGGATGATATATCCCCTTGACCAATAAACGAACCTTCTTTCAAAGGTTTTTTTTGAAAATATATTTTTGAAATAAAATCCCGCCAACAAATAATAAAAAGATAATAATAATATAATAATAAACAAAAATAAATAAATAAATAAATAAATAAAGCAAATATAGAAAAATACCAAAAAAAAAACCTAAAAACTCCTAAAACCAGAAGGAAAGGCTACTAAACCCTATGGTTGAGTCCCTAGCAGAGTCCCTAGCTGTAATAACCGGTTGAAAATTATAGAGTCGCCACCAATAATTTTTATCCTAAGAAATGGAATATAACGGATAACCCTAATTTGATAAGAGATTCTAAGTTGTTGACTCGCTTTAGACGAAGAGAAGGTGTTAGGCACCCCTCATCTACATTATTCACAAGGATACTAAGGTTTAGATTTAAGGCTTAGGAATAGGGTTTTAATTTTTAGTTAGGGGGAACTCGCCATGATTTTAAGTCGTATGCCTATGTATCCTCTTATGAGGAATCAGAGTCTCAATTCGTAGTTCGTAGTTGTTGGTTGTTTTTTTTATGAATTATGGAAATATCTCAAATTCTCCTTGAACCAAGTTTGGGTTTGTAAATAGAGGAATTATAGACGCGGCTCGCAGTCGAGAAATTCCCATAATCCATTTTGAAAATAAATATAAGTTTGAAATATGTTAGTAAAAAAGTTAGTATTTAATTGGTTAGATGTTTTCGAATATATTATGCAATATGAGAAAATAGATTTTAATG